CTACCCCAGAACTATAATTGCTGAAATGCGGGCAGTCCAAGAAGTAATAAAGAGTGGGCAAGTGAATTCCAGCACTGTGAATAAAGAACTTTCTGCTTGTTCCAATCTCAAATTTGACTTTGAAAATTCCCCATTGACACCTGAATGGAAGAAACGAATAATGGATCAATTAAATTCCATGCCTGAAGTCTTCGCCTTGCATGACTTAGATTATGGACATACAAACAAAGTCACTCACCGAATAAAGCTTAATGATGAGACTCCTTTCAAACACAGACCTCGACCCATACATCCTCAGGACATTGATGCAGTACGAAAACATTTGCAAGACTTGTTAGCAGCTGGAATTATCCGAGAGTCAGAATCCCCCTTTGCCTCCCCCATAGTAGTTGTAAGAAAGAAAGACAATTCTGTACGTCTTTGCATTGACTTCAGAAAGCTGAACTCACAAACAATTAAAGATGCCTATGCCCTGCCAAATCTGGAAGAGGTCTTTTCAGCACTAACTGGTTCAAAATGGTTCTCTGTCCTTGACTTAAAATCAGGATATTATCAGATTGAGATGGAGGAAGCTGACAAAAGTAAAACTGCCTTTGTGTGTCCCTTGGGGTTCTGGGAGTTCAATAGGATGCCCCAAGGCATTACCAATGCCCCAAGTACGTTTCAAAGGCTGATGGAAAGATGCATGGGTGACTTGAATAGGAAAGAGGTGTTGGTCTTCATCGATGATCTGATCATTTTCTCTGAAAGTTTAGAAGAGCATGAATCAAGGCTGATGCACGTTTTGAAAAGGCTCAAAGAATATGGACTGAAGCTATCGCCTGAAAAGTGCAAGTTTTTCCAGACTTCTGTTCGATACCTTGGTCATATTGTATCAGACAATGGAGTGGAGACTGATCCAGTGAAAATCGAGGCTCTAAAAACCTGGCCAAGACCAAGAAATCTCAAAGAATTAAGATCTTTTCTGGGATTTTCTGGATACTATAGGAGGTTCATTCAGGATTATTCCAAGATAATCAAACCCCTTAATGACCTCACAGTAGGGTATCCACCTCTTCAAAAACGTCACCTACAAGAGAACAAGAATAAGCAATATCTGGACCCCAAAAAGGAATTCGGAGACAGATGGAATCAGCCCTGTCAACAGGCCTTTGACATGATTATTGAGAAACTCACCTCTGCACCTGTTCTGGGATTTGCAGACCCAAAGCTTCCTTATGTTCTGCATACTGACGCCAGTACCACTGGGCTTGGGGCAGCCTTATACCAGAAACAAGAGGGACAAATGCGGGTCATTGCTTTTGCAAGCAGAGGGTTGACAAGAAGTGAAAGCCGGTATCCAGCTCACAAGCTAGAATTTCTAGCTCTTAAATGGGCAGTCACATCTAAATTCAGTGACTATTTGTATGGAACAGAATTTGTGGTCGTAACTGATAGCAACCCTTTAACTTACATTCTGACATCTGCAAAGCTTGATGCTACCAGTTATCGCTGGTTGTCAAGTCTGTCCACTTACAATTTCAAGCTCCAGTATAGGGCTGGAAGTCAAAACTGTGATGCAGATGGCCTTTCAAGACGACCACATGGTGAGCTTTTAGATGACCCTGCATCTCAGAAAGAGAGAGAGAGAATTAAACAGTTTACCCTTCATCATTTAGATGAATTTGGAGTTGAAGATTCTCTTATCCTCCCAGAGGCCATAAAAGCCATCTGTGATCGACATCAGATTGGAAATTCCTCAGATAAATGCAAATTTTCCAACCCTTCCATTGCCCTTGTTGAGTCCTTAGCCCTGCATGCAGATGTATTACCAAATGAGTTTGAACAAGAAAATGAGCATGGTCTTCCAGTCATTCCCTACCTGTCCAACGAAGAGTTAAAGAGACAGCAGAGAATGGATCCTGATCTCAAATTCATTATTGATTGTTTACAGCGGAATGAAAAACCTTCTAGTTCAAAAGACCAGTCGCTTGCTGTTACTCTGTGGATAAGGGAATGGAGCAGATTAGAATTAAGGGATGGATTGCTTTATAGGAAGAAGCAAGATCAGGAAAGCACTCACTATCAATTAGCTTTACCTGTAGCTTTACGTGGAACAGTGTTGAAGAGTCTCCATAATGATATGGGACACATGGGCATGGAGAGGACACTTGACCTTGTCAGAACCAGATTCTTTTGGCCAAAAATGTCATCATCTGTGGAAGAGAAAATTAAGACATGTGAGAGATGTGTACGTAGAAAAGCGTTTCCTGAAAAAGCAGCTGAAATGATGAACATCAAGACTACCAGACCATTGGAGTTGGTCTGTATGGACTTCTTGTCTTTAGAGCCAGATCAGAGTAACACCAAAGATATATTAGTTATTACAGATCACTTCACCAAATATGCGGTGGCTGTGCCTACCAGAAACCAGAAGGCGCGGACTGTGGCTAGATGTTTATGGGAAAACTTTCTAGTACATTATGGATTTCCGGAAAGACTGCACAGTGATCAAGGACGAGATTTTGAGTCAAGCCTCATCAAAGAGCTATGTCTCGTCGCAGGTATACACAAAGTGAGAACTACTCCTTACCACCCAAGAGGAAATCCAGTGGAGAGATTCAATAGGACCCTTCTCCAAATGTTGGGTACTCTTGAAAACAAAAAGAAGTCGTGCTGGAAGGAGTTTGTCAAGCCTTTGGTGCATGCCTACAATTGCACTCGAAATGATGTAACAGGATACACTCCCTATGAACTTATGTTTGGTAGACAGCCCAGGCTGCCAGTCGACTTAGCCTTTGGGTTACCTGTGGATCGTTCTACCAAATCCCACTCTCAGTATGTAAAAGATCTGAAAGAAGGTTTAAGAGAGAGCTATGAAATTGCCATCAAAAACTCTGCAAAAGTAGCCCAACGTAACAAGCGCAGATTTGACAAACATGTGGTTGTTTCTACTCTTGATGTGGGAGATAAAGTCCTTGTGCGAAATTTGAGGCTAAGAGGAAAGAACAAACTGGCAGACAAATGGGAACCAGATGTCTATGTAGTTATCCGTAAAGCTGGAGATCTCCCAGTATATGTAGTCCAGCCTGACGGAAAGACCGGTCCAGTTCGAACTTTACACAGAGACTTACTTCGACCTTGTGGATATTTGTCTGAAAATGAAATTGAAGAAATGAGTCCTCCAAATGTTCAACGTAAGCCCAGAACTAGGTCTAGCTCTGCTCTAGAATATGCTCCCAAAGAACATCAAATGAGTGATCAGTCAGAATCTGAGGATGACTCTCTATATATTAGAAATGCAGGACGCCAGTTGGAATCCATTACAACGACTGTGTTACCTTCATCACAAAGTCCATTGCTTGTAAGGAACTTACCTGGCATAGAGCCCATTGAACCACTCCCTGTCGTGGTGAACCCTGAAAAAGAAACCTTACCTGATTCGAGACTAGAAGAAGACTTAACAGAAAATCAAAGAGATGATGTCAATGAGAATTTCTTACCTGTGCTGAACCCTGCTGATATTGACCCCAAAGAAATTGAACCTGAAAGAAGTGGAAATAGTGTTGAAGGACAGATCCATAGAAGGGCGCTTGAATTAGATCCTGTTGATATATCCCATTCTAATGATCAAAATCCTCATGTCAGAAATGTTTCAAGTAACCAGCCAATAGTGGATGAAGACCTAGATACCAGTGGCCCTAGACGCTCAAAAAGGCAATGTAGACCTCCTAATAAGCTTGAGTATCATAAACTAGGAAATCCCTTGACACTAGTCATTCAGTCCTTACTACAAGGTCTGAGTTCTGCCTTTACCACATCGTTAGAAGAACCCATACTCACTAGAGATCAGCCCTTTGTTGTGCCAGACCCTTTTCCAATTGCAGTGACAACCCAACCCCGTACATGCCCGAGGACGTGCCTGAATTCAGGGGGGGAATGTGTAACCCAGGTTACTAGTGGGTAGTATACAGCAATAGAGCAAATAGAAATATGAGGAAAAAAACATTGGCAGAATACTCGATTAAATAATATACATTAAAATTATTTACTTATATAAATAATTTATAATAGAGTATTATACAGCATTCAAGGGAATAGTGCTTTAGAATGACATCATCGTGCCTTACACTATAGCAGCAGATCAGCTTTCCAAACAATAACAAATCTCGCTTGTCTGTTAGCTTGTGTTTACCGTTGCTATGGTGATTCAGTGTTCGCAAGGGAAAGCAGAGATGTAAGTTGTTATATTAATAACAGCAGAAAACTATTAGATTTACATCTTTTAATGTTTTAATGCGTATTAACTGTGAAAATTGACCATTAATAAGATGCTGACATGATTTCAATCATATATTTTTAATGAAGGATTGAGAGAAAAAAGACAAGATTTGTCTCTGAGAGTGAAATCTGCACACGAGTGCCACCTGGAGTTTTCCTGTTTGTTTCGTTTTGATTTTGAATGATTTCCTTGGTGAGTTCGTGTTTTTATTATTTATTATTGTTTTCATTATAACATGATTTAAACTAGTGTCGAAAAAATGTGTTTCATTAATTAACCATTTGTTTGGTCTAGTAAAAACAAAGTATTATACAGAGTATTATACAAGTGATTGTGTAAAGTTTAAGTGAGAGAGTTTAAGTAAAATGCTGTCATTTGTAAAAAGAAAATGCCAAATAGGAGAGAGAAATAGGAAAAACACAGAAATTCAGCAGAGAGAAGCATATACATGGTTATTTACTGTTGCTGTTTATTTAGAAATGTGTTTATCTGAGATAATGCATACACTGTAAAATGCTAATGGTTTCTTTGGCCTTGTGTTTTCAAGGCCAGGTTTTTTTTTTTTTCTTTTCCTTGGTTTTGTTCGTTTGTGCATCTTTTTCTGATTTTTCATCGGTGAGATGTTCTATTGACGTCAGTTGCTGGATGTGATCTGCTCTGGATTCGAATTAATTGAAGTTTGAACTCTTTTCTGGATTTGGATTGTCTCAACTTCCATCGGCGTGTCTAATTGTGGAGTTGGACTGGCGAGCCTCCCATTGAGTGGATTCTTTGGATACACCTGTTGAAAAGATACAAAGTAAAACCTATTCAGCGTCATGGTAGGAGTGTAAATTTACAACACACTCACAAGTGCAACATCCTGGTTCTCTGGAACTGAATTTGCAACCTAGTTGTTTTGCAAAAGAATCTTTTTGAAAGTTTATCACCTTTACTGGACTTTTGGAACATTTTGAAATGTTTTAAGTGAATGTTTTATTTTCATTTTTATTTTATTTGTACATTGTTCCTTTAGAGTGTTCATTCGTTGAAATTTTTGAATCTTTATAGAGAGAGGTTAACTGATTTAAGAAGGGAAATCTTGATTATATGTTAAATAATAATACAATTTTAATATTGTATTATTAACTTACACTTGCAAACCTTTAATATAGTACTGTTATTAGCATATTAATATTATATTATTGTTATAATAGTAACCAAAATATAATATTAGCCTTAACAATAGAAAAACAGAAAAATAACAATATTAACTTACCTTATTAGTGATATAGCCTGTGAAGAAAGAGAAGTGTTATTAGAGAGTGTAAATAAGATTGAGGTCATTAGATAAGTGTGAAAAAATCTAGAATTTGTTTTATTTATTTTTATTTATTTTTATATATATTTCTGTGAACATTTTACAATACAATCTTTTAATATTCTTACCTCTGTGTCCGAGTCCTTCACTGTTGTTGTATCTTCTCTCTCTTTGGAGGAATTTAGACTTCTGAGCATCTGGTCCATTGATTAAATCTTATAATACATTTGTCTACCGAGGGTTACAATCAGATGGCGTGCTGGCCTCAAAAGTGAACGCTTTGAGCGAGTCGTTTAAGACACACTTCAACAGTCTCTGATGTCGTTGAAGTTTCCCTTGGCCCTCTCTGCTATAATCCAGTGCGGCAAACAGGCAATTGACATTTCTGGGGCTTTTTTCTTGCAGGGCGATTTCCTGGTAGACCACTGGTATGCGACGGGTTGAGTTTTATATGGTAAAGTGCAAAGGAGAGGACGAGACGTGATTAAGGCCTGTTGGTCCGCTAACTGCCCTGTGACCTCATGCTCTCTATGGGACCCTCATGCATTGCAGTTAATAAATTAAACTTTCTGCAATCTTTAAAAAAAGCCCTGATTTTTAAAGGTTTACCTACATTTTGGCCAACTCGGCTCTGTTTGAAATGCCAGCTTATAACATGGCTACATAATAACAGTCATAAAAGATGTGAAATATTGATACAGGGAGCTTTTGAAAGCAGATTCTCGCTCGGGAAAGAGAGCATATTGTGGTGGTCTGGCGGCGTGCCTTGAATGTTCTCAATTATACATGGAGAGTATGGCAGAATCTTCCAGCGCAACTGTACTCGGCTAACAAACTAACAGCAGGTGTGCAGAGAGAGAAAGAGATAATAAGAGGGAAAGCAGAAAGGAGAAGGAGAAATAAAAAGTATCTTTGTGTTATGCCTTGGCTGTGTGGAAAAGAAAGGAATATTAACTGTATTAACACAAACATTTAAGACTTAAAGAGATAGTTCAGCCAAAAATGAATTTGAGAGTCCAAAAATAAAATGAATACCCGTGGCTCTTGATGATCCTTTGATCCTTGTGAATCAAAACAATTAGTCTTTCCAAAAACTGATCATTATTTATGATTACCATTAATCTACAGCTTTAGCATTCAGTTTTTTGTTGCATATGGCATTTTTACACCAGGTCACTTAATGCTTTTTCTCAAATTCTACAGCTGACTTGTGAAAATGGTTCCATTTACATTTGGCCATAAAAATGTGTCTCCATTAAATGGATATAAATCCAATCTTGGAAGGGCATAGCAGCATAAAACATGCCAAAGAAATTGGTGGTTCATTCCGCTGTGGTGACCACTGATAAATCAGGGACTAAGCTGAAGGATAGTGAGTGAGTGAAATCCAATCTTCAAATCCCACACTATATGCAAATTTAACTAGGTTACATTGACAAAGCATTTTATTTAATAACTTTAGAGAAACGTAACCTGCAATCTTTTTTGCATTGGAAATAATTCCAATAATCCCAAATGGTCATTTGTGATATTGCAGTTGCGCGTGACAAATAAGTGCTGTTATATCTTAATATGTCTAGCAACTGTGGTTCTCAACCAATTTATGCGCGCTGTCTCTGTTCCCAAACGCTAGTTGGCAGTGAGTTGTTAATGTGTCTCTGTGTCGAGTTTCTTCGCTGGTATTTTGTCTTTTTTCTGATCGTTTCCTGAATGTACAAGTGGCTCAAACTTGCTCATTTTGAGGCAGGAACCGGCGGGCATGCAACAACTCTAACTATGAGATAAACACAAAACAAAACTTTCCATCCGGAGCTCCTTCACGGGACTTCAAGGGCTTTGCGTCAACGCGTGGGCTGTGCCGTAGCATAAGCGTGTACTTGACGCAGATGTATAAATCAGCCTTTAGACCACCTGCTGAAGTGGTTTGAGAGATCGAATTTATATCCATCTCAAATGCATTTCGGAGGGCATTTACACCTGTCCTTTTTATGATCGGACAGCAATCCAATCAAAAAAAAAAAAAAAAAAAAAAAAGCTTGATAGATGAACATACTTGCATCTATACTTATTTTTACATAGGTTGCAGCAACACTGTTTTAATTTTTTGATTTTTTAAAAATAGTTTTTTTGGTGTTTGGTGTTAGACATCCCATGCCTGGGTAGTTGACCCACTTTGGGAAAACCACGTTATTGTGGGGACGCTGGCATCGCAGTTGGTGTCAGAAGTGGGATGAGCACAGACTTTTCTTACATAAAAGGTTTTACGCCCTTATGCAAAGTGAATCTTAACTAAAGATGAACAAAGTGAACTCCAAACTATCGTGAAGATTCAGAGCCAAAATCTAGATCTAAATGTGGACTCACTCTGAAAGTAATGTTCTACTTAAGAAAAAAAATTATCTATATCTTGGATGGCCATACATTAGCAACAAATGTTCATTTTTAGCTGAACTATGTAAAAACAGAAGGACACATGTCCGCTATTGTAAACAGTGTTTGGAAAGTATTAAAGTGAAAGTAAAAAAAGTCTTAACAATATTACTAGTGAGACAAAAAAGCATTTGAATAATCCCCGTATTTGAACACCTACCTTCAGGACTCTCTTCCTGTACATATGTCCCTGTCAGATACCTGTGCACCAGCGCAGACTTCCCACTGGCCAAGTTACCCACAATGCCCTGCGCACACACACACATCGAAATTTTAGGTGACAGCATCACATTTTAATAGGGGTGTGAGGAGACTCTTATTCCTCAAGACAATACGAGACATGAGATTGGGTTTGCGAGAACGAGACGAGACAAGATTTGTATACTATTTTTTTGGAATTCTCAGTGATGAAACATATAAGTGGAATCAAATCACAAAATACTAAACTATTTAGGTGCTTTTTTTTTTAAATAAACCTGTAATGAACATTGTTTTACTTTCATTTTAATGAATTCTAAGTTGTAAAGGGCATGCAAACACTGCTAAATATTTTGCTACGACCATGGCTCATTATTATATGTATATATTATTACAGTGTAATGTCTCAGCTGTGTATATAAAAATGGCGCTTCCTTTGTTTTCATTCTCCTGGTTTGTATATGTGCTAGTGACATATTTCTCTGTAAACCAATAGCTTTTATTGTGCGTCTTGCTCCGCATTTTGGTACCCTTTTGTTATAATAGGCACCCTTCCGAAAGGCTATTCAAAAAGTGGTACAGAATGATTTGCTTTTGACAGTGGAAATGGCCATAAAAGTGTAGCGTGCCGTACCACTCAATGGAAACGGGCCATTAATGTGTGATTCAAATCCAATCCTGCCTCCAATCTTCAATGCTAAATTCACCCTCACGCCCCGTCATAACATCACAACTAACGAGACAACTTTTTACCTTCATATGAAATCTCATCGTGATTTAGTCTCACAAGATCTCGTAGCCCGAGATCTCGTCACACCCCTAAATTTTAAACAAACTGCAATGTTATTTTGAGTCATTTACTGATGGAAGTGTTGTCCTCTTAATAACAGAATGAATATTTTTCAGATAAAAAAAGAATATTTTTAAGTGCACACACACATGCACACTACTGTAGTAGTGCAATTTTTAATATGAAACTATTTAACTTGTTTTTAAAAAACAGCATTGAAGTTTCTTCATCTTTTGAACGTCATATTTTGCAATGACATTTTTTGACAATATCATATAACATGATAAAGGAACCAGCGACTATCATGCCATGAAATTTGAATAGCGTCACTTATTAATGCACATAAAATAATTTGAGATAAGAAAGAAATTACAATATGATAAGAATTTAAGACTTTGTACATGTGTCTGTTTTTTGACATTTTAGAATCAAAAGAGTGTAAGAGTTAATGTTCTATGAATATCCAATGAACTTTCCAGCAGGACAAAAAAAAAAAAAACTTAATGTTAACCAGCCAATTTTTTAAAATAACATGACAATATATCCATTTTGTGGTAAAGTGATACATTTATGACATCAATATAAGCAATACATATATGCAAATCACATTTTGATTTGAAAAAAATGTCACTATTAACTGGACTCACCACTTTGAGCTCTGGTACTGAGCGACTGAGTGTCCACTCCTGACTGTTGACAAAGGCATCTACAACAGAGAAAAAGAGACATCATCATAAATATGGTCATGCTCTTCAGGTCAAACTTATTTACAGAACAGTTCTAGATGAGCGACTCATTGATCCAGAGGAAATGAACACAGCCGAAAGGGAACAAAATCATTTCCATTCACACTCCTCAAATATTAACACATTACTCCATAACTACACTACAGCATAAGACATGTTTGTGTCAATTTGAGGTTTTTTCAGCAGAGCCATAGACCAAATACATGTTAATTAGAGCCTGCACGGCCCCCACGCTCAGCCACATAGCACGCTTCACATTACAACAGAACAACAGTGGCTGCAGGTGCTCTGTGGGCTTATATGCCAGCAAATAAGCCTGCAAATCCATAACTCTAGAAGTGTTGTATAGATGACAGTCAGGTCATGCTCTTATCAAAGAAAATGTCAGAGGTAAACAATGGTTAATTTGGTATACTGGATTCTCAGGCTGTGTTCCAAAGTCCTTGCTACTGTAGCTTTAACAGTAGAGCATGCTGCCATCAAGGGCAAAGCCATGGGTTTAATTCCCAGGGAAATAATGAACTATTAAAATGTAATTATTTAGAATAAGCCCCATTGCTGACCACTGTGTGCATTCACATCTGTCTTCTAAAGGTTGGAAAACACTACACCCTGTATAAAATTGAAAACACAAGGCAATATACACTTGCAACTATGTTACAAACTTAGTTAAATTCCTTAATGGGTAGATTCTGGATGTTTCGATGATTTTTTTTTTTTTTTTTTTACGGGGCTATAGGGCCCATTGTTTTCATTGTGAATCTCGGAGTTTAACGTCAATATGTTGATAAGTCAAAAAAAAAGATTGATTAGCATAAAAATACACACAAAACACAAATATTAAGCAAAACAGTCCATTTTATGGAGGCTGTGTTAAAATCCAGGGGTTGACAAAAGTATAGACTTCGCTACAAACTAATATTGATATTTAAAAACTGGCCCACTTATATTTGAGCGCTTTTGAACAAATGAACTGCTGATTGGCCAATATGTTTATGTGCTCAACAAATTTGACTATGACTGTCTCCAACACTGTTCACAGAGCGCAAATGCAAATACACGAACAATGAAACATTTAAAAGCCATGTCTATCAGCTGACTGCTCATATATCTGCTAACAGAAGGATCATCTGATTGACACAACTTTCAAATACTCCAGTATTAACAAATGTTAGATGGAAATGACTATTTTTATGTTAAGTATTGACTATTAAAAAAATCGACCCGACTAAAAAGCTTTATACTGAATATCACAAGAACAATTAAGTCACGTCATCTGCTTATCGGTGACAGAAAAGCAACAGTGGACTTTTAAAGTAATTAATTATCCTTTACAGTTCCTTGTATTATTGCCGTTTTTATTTTATTTTAAATGTCCAAACAGCACAAAGAATAAAAAAAGAGAAAAAACTATTTCAGGGTAGAAGAATATCCTATCTAAAATGGCTTTATATTTAATAAAATGAAATTAAAGACTTGAACTGGTATAAAATCAATAAATATCTAAACCCATCTACCACTGCACAGCTTGTATTGAGAAACATTGAGAGTGCAAATATGATGTAATAAAACGCTGCTTAGGCAGGCGAAGAATATTTTTTGAGACACTGCATCATTTTGCTCAGTGCCTATCTCAGTGCGTGCGCACAGCAATAAAAGCACTGCTGTTCCTGCAATGCCATCATCTGCTCACTGATGTCAGATAACAACAGTCTAGAATTTCTCCAGAGACCCATACTAAACACCTGCTAATGCTAACATATATGCCTAACCCATGGGGATTGCCACCTTTGCCATTTTCTAATGAACTAAAGAAAAGAAACGCAAGCCCTTTGGGGGGCTGCTTCATATATTCCGCTGGATGACCCTCAAAAGACCACCATGTATGAGATCCCAGCACAATCTTTTAACTCCACAGAAAGCATGTTTAAAAACTGAATGGGGTGTAAAAAGAGAAACATGGATTGAGTGTATGTTTGATAATCAAATGCAAACCATATTTGTTTGGAAATAATAAACTTATTTGAAACCTTTTGATAAGCGTGCGGTGCGCAGATGGAACCAATCAACACACTGGTATGACAGCCGTCTGCGATGCTGCAACTCATTCAAAATGACAATCTGGAACATCACAGGAGACATGATGGGAGTGACAGACCGGCGATGATCCATTACAGCCACAGACCTTGTCACTCTCGTCTCACCTCTTCAATTGAAATAGACTTGCTCCATGCTTTTTCATTATGGAAGTCGGTGGTGTGGCTGATTATAAAATACAGCGTCGCCTCAGTAAAAACAGTAATAAAAGACACTGCAGTTACCAATATCCAGAATAATACTCTAATGCAAATTTCCATTTCAAGCCCTGACAGGATTAAAAAAATATATCTTTGCAGAATATAATTTCGAAGCTGAATAACTGATTTCTGTGTGACAGCAGCCTTTATTTCATCCAAGAAAAACTGAAGGTGTTAAACACATGGAGTCTTTGTGTGAAAAACACCCAATCATCGCTGCTCTTCACAACCTTCAGGAGAAACCATGCAGTTCCTGCTTCTCATGAGAATGTGATATACATGTGTGGAGCTCCGTCACGGAATGATTTATTCTTAACCCTCCAAAATTACTGACAAGTTTCCAATTGTTTTTAACTTTTTGCATAAAAGCATAAAAAAATAAGTAACTACATTGTGGATCAGCTACAGCTAATGATTAGCATTAGATATGTTAGATTAATCAGTCAGCGTTTACATTACTGGCCAATTACCATATTTCGCTTCAGTTTCAGGTTTCAAATCTACTGCCAGCTTTGACAATGAATTAAATTGTTTGTGTGCGCATGCAGAAAATTTGAGTATGTTTCAATAAAACATACTGGTTTGATTTTAATTTCAGCATTTGTTTTGTGCTGTGGACATCTTCTTGCCATCATGATTTTTTTTTAATTACACAATTTAAATAGAGTGTTCTAAAATACTCAAATAATAACAAAAATCCCATTAAACACCTTTTATTTAGAATTTCTTCCCATGTTCACGTGGGTTTCCTCTGGGTGCTCAAAAGACATGTGGTATAGGTGGTATAGATTTGGATAAACAAAAAATTTACAGCAGTTTATACATGTGAATGAGAGAGTGTATAAGTGTTTCCCACAACTGGGGGTTCCCTCTCAGTGCTGGGTTGTGTCTGTAAGGGCATCCACTGCATAAAACACATGCCAGAATAATTGGTGGTTCATTTCGCTGTGACAACCCCTGATATCTGCGGTGGATATAACAATAGAAAGGTTTCTATTTTTCTAGCATATTTCTGAAAAATGATGTGTACAAATGAGTAAACTGACAAATGGCCCATTTCTACAGAGCAGTATGTCTTAGTTCAATATAGCACGATATGCATGCATCTCTGCAAATCATACTGTACCACTTTTTTGCCACCCTTCGGCATGCAAAGGGTACTTTCCACAACAGTACGGAACCTAAAAGGTGAAGCTAGACTCACTGCTGAACGTTACTGGTTAATAGAACATTCTGACAAGCACATGCAATAAGCCAGAGGAACTAACAAACAGGAAGTTTTTAAATACACAGCAAAAACTTGACATCGCAATAATAATATAATAATGGTGCGCAGCAACAAACCGTGCTTAACCAAAGCTTTTCTCTTCTTGCGACAAACAGACACAAGATGCAAGAACAAAATCTGATGTATGTCCTCTATTGTTGTTTATAGGGCTGTTTACACATCCTGTATAAAACATGTGGAAAGTGCAATTCATGCCACTTTCTCTTTCTTTGCGCACATGTCTATATTTTAAATAATTACTTGGGTGCAAAAAGACATTTTCTCAAGCAAGAATGCCATTGATCAAAACTGTCTGTAGTACACCAAGTCAAGAAGAGTATCGCTGGCAGTGAAATCATAAACCTAATCAGGGTGAGTCAAACTGTACTGCATTTTACTGACCTGTACCATTCAGTGGAAATGAAGCAAAAGCCATTTCTGTTTAAATGGATACATGACAACTACTAAAAATATCTTTATGCATTCAAGCTGGTGAAGTCACTCAATATTTTGAGTAAAACAATTACGCACACACGCTGTGTTTTTCACAAAACCATGTCTTCTGCAGTTTACACAGCGATCATGACCTGTTTTTATTTGCATTTTAGGCCAGCAAACAGCTGCAATGTACAGTTGAAGTCAAAATTATTATCCATCCTGTGATTTTTTTTCAAATATTTCTCAAATGATGATTAACAGAGCAAAGAACTTTTCACAGTTTTTCCTATAATATTTTTTCTTCTGGAGAAAGTCATATTTTTTTTATTTTGGCTAGAATAAAATCAGTTTTTAATCTATTATTAGCACCCTTAGGCAATATTTTAAGGGGAACAAACCATAGGCAATGAGTAGCTTATTTACTCTAATTTGCCTATTTAACTTAGTTAAGCTTTAAGCTGAAGTAGCTTGAATGGTAGCTTGGAAACATTTTAAGTAAAATATTATGTACTGTCATCATGAAAATCAGTTATTAGAAATGAGTTACTAAAACTATTATGCTTAGAAATGTGAAATTTCTTTCCATTAAACAGAAATTGGGGTAAAAACTATACAAAAGTGCCAGTGCCTAATTTGTGAATTGCGGATCCGGCATATGTTACCCGAGGATAGAAAGTTGTTGCACATGAAAGTGGAGGGGGGGTTAGGGGGTGTTGGATGACGGAGGGGTGTCATGGACGAAAGTGAAGAGCGAGGGGGGGGGGGGATAGGGGGGCTGACGCAGACAAAAGTGAAGAGGGTTTGGGAGTCGTGGAACAAAGTTAAAGTGAACAGCGCATGGCAGAGGAGGGGAATTGGTAAAATGAGGTGCCGGATCAGATTACAGAGGTGCTAGATCCGGATCCGGCACGATTTAAGCCCTGAAGAGAGCTAATAATTCTGACTTCAACTGTCTATA